GCACTAAGATCTCCATCTCCATCTTCAGACTTATGTATAATCTTATATAATGTACACGCAACTGCTGTCTAAAAAAATCATAATAACATTATTTTTACTCTCTAGAAATTCTATAACAGAAAAAAAAAAAAACCAACCCTTAAAGTTAGCAAAATGTGGATAAGTGCGTAGACATCAGTAGGAGTTGCTATATGTAAAGGAATCGGTGCTTGTTCCAGTAAACAGTACTTGAAAATACCCGTTTCCTTACGCATAGCATATATTTCTAGCATATCTCCTACAAGATTTAATCTGAATTAATCGCGGGCTTATGGATCTTATATAATTAAACATAATAATTTCTTACCTGCAACATTAACTGTAAATATTGCTAGTTGTTGCCTTGTAATTGATCGGCTAAATATTCTTTGAAGGTTAGAAACACTTCTTGTAGTATCAATGGAATCTTTAGAAAATCTAGCTAATTTTTTATGATCCCGTACTCACTTAATTAAAGTTGAATTCGGCCGACCAGTTTCTAAATAAGAAATTTCAAGCTTCGCATTTTTCCCCAAATGAGTTAGTAACATATAATCTGGTCTTCGTGCAATTTTTTGCGAACCCTTCCTTACCGCACTAGCTAAACTTCCTTCCTCACCCCTTAATTCAGAAACTTTATATTAATAATACGAAATAATGTGATTATCTAATATACAATAAACGTACCAAATACCCCATGCTAATGGATGCCCGGGTAAATCATTCATCGCAATATTTATCAGCGGAGCAATTACTTCACATACGTAAGACCTGTGGCTCTCCATCTTTTATGAATAATTTATATTTCGGCGATCTCCAAACTTTTCCCCTAAAAAAGAAAATATGTTAATTGATAATCGGTAATTAAGAATTAGTTTATAAAGAAAACAAAATATTAACATTGCTTCCAATAATTCTCTCGTTATTTGCTCAAGTTTTTCGGGTTGATCTACCCATCTTCCAAATTCAATATTTCCCGATATATCATATTTCGAGCTGATTTTTCCTTCTTCGTCCATAACAAACTTCTCGCACATATTAAATATTGCATTATTCTTGGTCAACTTATATTTTTGAAACGGCTCTTGGAAAATATTGCAGAGCGACGTAGGCATTTTTGTAAAAGGCTTTGATTTGATATCAAGGATTCCGGAACACAACGGGTGGTCAAAACCTAGCTCTGACACATTTATATCGTGTAATTCCGTTTCAACTCTCTCCCACATTTGTTTTTCATAACCTGAAGTTTCATTCGTACGCTAAAATTGATAGCGGTAAATAAATACCACCTGGAATATAAAAAATCAATTTAATATAACTTACGAACCTTTCTAACTTCACGCTTCAGCGAATCTATATTTGCATTCGCGTCTTCCTGCCAACTCATTACATCAATTTGCTAAAAAATAAGTATACAATACATTAGTGTCAATTCATAAATTATATGTATAAGATTATTCATAATACCAGAACGTCCAACTCCACAAGGGAATATATATAATCAATTGCAGTTAAAATCTAAAGTAAAAACAAATTTATAAAATAAGTTGCAAGAATAAACGACCACTAAAAATTGCACAAGATCAGATTAGGTTTCCGTTATCATATGTTATTGAAAATGCCGGCAATTATAGTATTTGCAACTAGCTACTACCACGCGTGAAATGTTTTACCATAACCGGCGCAGTCCATTCACTAGAATACAAATACTAGAAAACCTAATGGTTCATCACATCCAACACGCTTTTTTCAAAAAAGGTTATAAACTTACTCGTTGTCTCAAACCTTCACCGGTTCCAAAGTTCCGAAGTTTTCTTAAACGTTCTTCTTCTCCGGGCGTCCGCTTTATCGTATTTTTCACATTTTCTAACGTTTTCACGAACTTTTGTACTTCTTGCTCGCGATTTCCACTCCAGCTACCTGATTCTGCATGCTTATACAAAGCAGTGGCAACAGTGATTGTTGAGATAGGTGTATAAGTCAATAAAAAGTTTTCCATTTTTAAGATTGCGACAAATAATCATAACTTTATTATACTGCCCTTTTATACGTTTTTCACCATCTCTTCTCTGAAATTCGAAATGCTAGAAAGGTTAGACAGAAATAAAAACATGCATTCTTACATCGAAAACTTCTACGATAGAAGTTGAGGTATGCAGAGAAATTTCTGAAAAGCACGGCAAAGAATTTCTACGTATAGATTATGTAAATGTATGCATCACGAGTTATAGAGCCATGTAAGGTTAAAATCGATAAAAATTAAGACTTTAAGGAACT